CGCTTGCTCCTCGTGATCTTATTCTCTGTGGTTCAAAGAAGAACAGTGGACTTTTGATTTTCTTCACTTGCTCATTAGGGTCAGTGGCCACCTCCAGTCTCCTCACGTACCGGATGAGACTCGTGGGGACCAGTCCTTTGTATTGAAAAATTCCAACTTATAGAATTATCGTAGTCCATCTGTTTAACAGATGAAAATTATGTAACTTGTGAGTTTGGGGCAAATCTAAAGAAGTTTCTGGGCATCTCTCTATATCTGCATTTTTCTATCTCAAGCTGGTGAGAATATAAGTTTTTGTGCCCATAAATGACCAGGAGTAAGAGTATTAGTTTATATAAAAACTATACATTTAGTCTTTTGAGGAAAAGAGTATTTCCCAAACTGCACCATTTTGCGTTTCCACCAGCAGAAGAGAATTAATTGGTCATCATTCTTACCAGTACTTGCTATTTTTGGATTAAAATAATTACTCTTACTTGTGTATGCAGTCTTAATTCATTGTGACCATTGTGGTTCCTTAATGATCAAGCTTTCTGGAAATCTCTTTATGTGTTTATTTGGCAAACAAGTCCTGTGATTCTAGAGTCTGAGGAGTTCGGGCACCTTCCATCCACAAGCTGGGAGCTTAGGAAACTCTGCACCAATTTAGTCTGAGTCCAGAGGTCTAAGACCAACGAGTCAGCGGTGCAAACCCGAGACCAAATGGTGGTGAAGACATAATGAACTTTTCCTGTTCATGTGAACGGGAGGAAGGGTGAGCCACGAGTTACCTCATGTAACATCATGGCTGTGTTCTCGATGGCCATGCGTGCTACTGGGGTTTGCTCCCCAGTCCTGACAGGCTGGTTCCTAGTCCTGCTGCCTCTCAATCGGCCTCACCTGACTGTTGGAAGGGCCCCGGGCTGTGCAAACAACCCCCCTCTTCCAGTATATGTTTTCGGCAGAGGGAAACTGGCACGGTATATTCCCCGTGGGAAATAGCTGCTCAGCTCCAGGACAAGCTCAATCTTAGTTTTTTAACTTGCACTTTTCTGCCGTTCACCCTCCTCTCATTTCCCTGGTAAACTGCTGCCCATGCTTTAAAGCCTTTCAGAGGCTTTTGGTTTGCTGCCAAAAGTTTCCCCTAGGAACTCTGATTCAATACAAAACTTGTCACATTCGCTTCTGAAACTCAGACAGGCTCCGTCATCTGCTTCCCTGCCCCCATCTCATCTTGAAATTTTTAGCACCTAAAACCCCATTTACATGCTGGTCCCCATCACTACAGTGTCCCAGAGCCTGCGACAGTCATCTCCCATCATGGGCCGCAACAAAATAACTAAAGTCCTGTACAGTTCCCAGAGTTCCCATGAGTTAGCTTGTGTCTCTTGCTTTACCTTTCTTGAGATCCAAGCTGTGTGATGGGACCTGATGTGAGAGGCTGGTCCATACGAGCCATTAGGGACACTTGCTTTAGTGCTGGCCATGGGTCCCAGGAAGGACGGGCATCGCTGAGAAAACTGGGCACGAGAGAGACAGGGTTTGGTTTCCAGTTTCCCTAGCCTGGTAAAGCACCTTCCCCACTGGTTGCTGAGTTGGCTCCGTTTCTCGACTTCTACAATCCTCAGACTGATCCCATCTGTCCCATGACCCATGACCTCACGGGCCATGCTATAAAGGACTCTCTCTCATTTCCGTTTATAAGACTTCTTCAATTCAAACAACTCTGATGCAGGTTGATAATTTCCAGTTATAACTCCTAGTTTCCTATATGGGGCCATTACCAAGGCCCCTGTGTATACACCGAATCATAGATTTCACATCTCCATATTCCTGTGACGGCCTCCACTTATTAAGGAGGCTTGACACTCCGTATAGAGAGGGGGCACACTCTCTGCTCCGTTGAGTGGATAAAAGCAAAGGCGGGACGAGGAGAAAGACAGACTTCCATCTCTGCACCACTGTCTGAGTAGGACCGGTCATGTGTCTCCATGCCTCCTGGGATGCTTCACGCGCAGATGGCTCGACTTTGGTCGCACATCTCATATCGCTCACAACAGAGGCCACACCACTGCCAACTCAGCAACCAGTGGGGAAGGTGGTCTGTCTGTGCTCAGGCTGTAACTGCGTCGTGGGACATTTTCTAGGGATAGGTGAATAGGTGTCTGTTTTCTCCAGGGCACCAAAGACAACCAAGAGATGATTCCACCCGTGTGTATTGACAGGTCAATGAGTTTATTGGAGTTGCTTACGGGGGTGGAGTGGGGGGAGATGATGATGATAGACCCTCAGGCAGGGGCATCACTGAGAAGCCCGTTTCAAGGTGGGCAATGCATCCCCAGAGCTTCCTGCACAGCCTGTAGGGAGCTGCACTGCAGTGTCTCCTGGAATGGCTGCTGTGGATGGAACCTCGGAGGCAGGCTTTGTGAGTCTCATAATTGTCTAAGCTTTTAGAGCCTTGTAAGCCTTGTGACCTCTCTGTTTATATTACACTAGCTAGTGCTACTATCCGTGGATGTTTTCTAGAAAAACAATTGAGTTTTGCATATTGACCCATTATCTGGTAATTTTTTTTTAATTTGGTTTTTTGAGACAGGGTATCTTTCTGTAGCCCTGGCTGTCCTGGAACTTGCTCTGTAGATCAGGCCAGTCTCAAATCAGAGATCCATCTGCCTCTGCCTCCTGAGTGCTGGCTGGGATTAAAGGTGTGTACCACCATCACCACTGGATGTGAACTAATTTCTTAGTTCCCATAATTGTTTTCAATAGATGCTTGAGATTGTCTATGTAGCTTATCTTAGACAAGAGGTTTTCTTTTTGGTAATTGGTAGCCTTTGACCTTTCCTCCTCATCACACTGTATAGTAATTCTCCCCTCCCCCCGTAAGACACTGGGTAAAGGTTTTGAGGACAGGTACTTCTTTTTTTCTTCTTTTTAGTGTTTGTGTGTGCATGAGTTTTTTGCCTGCAGGTATGCCTATGCGCAATGTGTGTGCAGTGCCCTCAGGAGGTCAGAAGAGGGCGTCAGATACCCTGGAATTAAGTTACAGGTGGTTGTGAGCCACCATGTGGGGGCTGGGAATTGAACTCGGGACCTCTGGAAGAAGAGTCAGTGCTCTTAACCGCTGAACCATCTCTCCAGCCCCTCTCCTTTCACTCTGAGCACCTTTACCCACCGAGCCACCTTTCATGGCCCTGCTTATGTAACTTGTGTCTTTCACAACGTGTAGTGACAGTAACCAAAGTCTAAAGTGTCGCTTGCACACTTTTATGGCTCCGATCTGAACCGCCCCGCAAAGGCTCGTCTGTTGAAAGCGTAGTCTTCAACACAGCACTTTAGAGGAGTAAGCAGATGGTGAGGGCTCTGACTTCCTTAGTCCAGCCTGTGCTCCTGAGGTGATGGGCTTTGGGGAAGTGAGGGAAACTTTGGAGAAAGGCACCAGTTGAAGGCGCTAGTCCTGACTGAGCATGCGCCTAGGACTACACACTGCCCCAGGCTTCCTCCTCACAAACCCATCTCCTTATTCATTCCTAGGTTGGCAGCTTTGCTCTGTCACATGCTCCCTGCCCTGGCATTCTGCCTGGTGCTGTTCCAGGAGCAAGGAACCACAGGACTGTGGGCTGAAATCTTTGAAGTACGAGCCAAAGCAAACGTTTCCCCTTTTTAAATGGCATTCCTTGGGGATTTTTGCCACAGCAATGAAAACTAATGTGTTAACATGGGCACCTTCTATGTTTAACGACATCCGAGCCCCAGGGACTGTTTTCTAGGTTAGAAAGACATTTAAAACTGAAGAGGACAACTTACCCATGAGTTTGTACCCGGATCCTCACTCGTTAGAACTCTAAATGAGGACTCTGGACTAAAAATGAGGGTGAATTAGGGGGTTTGTTTGTTTGTTTTTGTTTTGAGTCTGCCAGTAGAGGCTGTTAAGCTTCCACGGAAGGCCGTTGACCCAATGCAAAAACATGTCATTTTCGTGGCTCGAGCGTTTTCCAGCCCCAATTACTTTAACTACTAAGACTCTCTCGGAAGCCTAGGGCTAAACTGGGTCAAGGTTAGATCATTGTCTTGGTTAAATAATAAGATGTACACAGCGCATCTGTGCCCACCCACTAGAGTCTCCCTAGTAGGCAATGAAGAAGTTCAGATGACATTTAAAGACAGGAAGCTAGCTACAAAGTGCCTGGGACCATGTGCCCTTGGCCTAGAAACCTTACACAATGGATTGGGAACGGGGGGAGTGAGAGGAGCAGTCAACACCGGGGAGAGGAAACTGCCAACGGTAAGATTGAAATCTGTTCTGATGCAGGAGCAGGGGTGCCCCAGGAGGTTGAACGCAGTGTCGTAACCCCATGACTTAGGTCTATGAAAACTACACAAATTAAACTCCCCATCTCTAAAATCATCCAATTTACACACACGAGTAAACGAATTAAATATATAGTCATTAAAAAGAAATCCAAGCCGGGCGGTGGTGGCGCACGCCTTTAATCCCAGCACTCGGGAGGCAGAGGCGGGAGGATCTCTGTGAGTTCGAGGCCAGCCTGGTCTACAAGAGCTAGTTCCAGGACAGGCACCAAAAACTACAGAGAAACCCTGTCTCGAAAATCAAAGGAAAAAAAAAAAAGGAAGAAAGAAAGAAATCCAAGCGACCAATTAAATTCTGAAAAGTGTTCAGTCTTTTTATCTGTCAGGAAAATGAAAAATCAAAAGTGCATATTCCAGGGGATGGAGAGACCGGCCATTCACTGCCTGCACTTTAAATTGCAGAGGACCCTGGCTTGATTCTCAGCTTCTTCAGTGGCTCCCAACTGTAATTCTGGTTCTATAAGTCCCGGCTCCCTCTTCTGGTTTCCACCGGCTCCTGCATGTAAGAGGTGTACATAAACTTAATACAAGCACAACACGCATTCGCCATTCACATTTTAAAAAAATAAATTCTTTTTAAAAATTATTAAAATGCCTCCAGATCCCATCTCACTTGTGTCTGGGTGGCTATCATCAAGCAATCACACAGCAGTAGGGGTGGGGCCGCGGGAGCGGGTCACAGCTGTGCGTGTTGGTCGTGGGAGGAGGCGGCGCCCGGCTCTTACAACGATGGCTGGGCTGCAGGCTTTGGTGCAGCGGGTGCTGCGCGCACTGGTGTGGCGGGCACTACACGCACTGTTCTGCCCGCACCGTACGCTCATGTCGGCGCTGCGCGTGCACCCGGGCACTTGGAGCTGGCTCTGGCGGCTCCCCAAGCCTCTGGCGAACCGTGGGAATCCTCGTAGCAGTCCCTGCCCGCACCCGCACCTGCACCCTCACTTGCACCGCCTCCCACACAGGGACCCTGCGCTGGCAGCCATACGCCCTGGGCTGCGCTGGCGCGCCGATGGCCGGACCCTGCACAAGCTGCCGGTGCACTTGACTCTGCTGATCACGGAGCTGGAGCACAACTTCTCGGACGTGGCGAGCATCGTGGTGTGGTGCGTGGCCGCGGGGATCTCCTACGTTAGCGTCTACGACCACCAAGGTACTTTCAAGAGAAATCATTCCAGACTGATGGAGGAAATTTTAAAACGACGACAGGAACTTTCGGGCTTAGATTGTTCCAGATACTCAGCAGAGTTGGAAGAGAGTATTGACAAAGACGGTCTAGTTTTAAATTGCTGGCCGCCAGTGCAGGTGCTGTCCCCAGAAGACGGAAAAGCAGACGTAGTGAGAGCCGCTCAGGACTTCTGCCAGTTGGTGGCGCTGCAGCAACGGAGAGCCACAGATCTGAACGTGGACGTGTTTGACGGCTTGCTTCGTTCCCAGGGCTTCCCGGATCCGGATTTAGTATTGAAGTTTGGTTCTGTGGACAGCACACTAGGCTTTCTCCCTTGGCAAATCAGACTGACTGAAATCATCTCCTTGCCATCTCACCTCAACCTCAGTTACGAGGACTTCTTCTCTGCCCTTTGTCTGTACGCGGCCAGCGAACCGCGTCTGGGAAAGTAGTGGTCCCCGTTTGCACGATTCGATTCAGGCTTTTGAAAGGAAAGGACCCCAGTGATGTTTACATCACTCTGATGTTCACAAAGTACTTATAAGACCCTGTGCACATCTAGTTCATAACCTCATAATTTATCAGCAGACATAGTGTCTTACTTGAGAGTGCACGTGTGTGTTTGGAAAGAAACAGAGAGGCAGCCGGGAATGCAGCAATAGGTGGGAGCCATCGGATTTAAAGGCCTCAGCTGTACAACTTCCCCGGTTTTGTGAATTACAGGGGTGATTAGAGCTGGCCGTTTGGAGTGGGGTGAGGGTAATTTTTGTTCAGCTTATCCTAGTGACCAAACATTTATTTTTAAGACTAATATATTGACTTATTAAATGGGAGTATTCTCATTTTGAGGGCGATTCAGAGGAGCAGGATCCCGTATTCACACTCAGGTTCAAAACAACTCTCTCTCCTCAGGTTTCTGGCTGCTTCCATTGCTTTGTTCTAGGAAGCGATGACGTTTGAGTACTGCTTTGGTGCCTGTGTTCTGGATTGTGAAGATCACTGGGAAAAATAAAATCGTTCAGTACTGAATAAAGTGCAGAAAATAAAAATTTTAAATGTTGAATTAGGCAGTCAAAAACTAGATTAATAATCGTCTCAGAGGTGGAAAATTCCCTAAAAAGGCAGTTTTTGATACCTTAGCTGGTATGCATAGCATGCGACAAAGGACCCGAAAAACATTTCCATTAGCTTTTGATTAAAATGAGCACTTGAGAGAAGCTACCAGGCAGCTCGTTTCCTCCGAAGTAGCCCGTTCCCCTTCCTGAGTAACACCTGGGGTTCCCTCCGCCCCTCAGTAAATCTCAGGAACAGTCTTGCATAGATGTTTAAGTAGGATGGAGCCTTTGCCATCAAAGTCCAGGAAGACAATTTAGCTTGATTATTTATGTTCTCTAGTGTCCCGGAGAACAGGCTCTGTTACTTTAAGAATAAGTCCGTTCTTGACAGCGACTTAATGTTTTTCCCCATACTGCTCCAGTTCTGATGGCAGCCACTCTTTATATGTGATGGACAGTTTTCCAAAAGCTCTTCCCAGCAAGAGTCATGCTCACCTAGAGTGGAGTCCTTTAAATACCGGGCCCCAGAAATCGGAAAAACAGCCAAGAAAAAAAACTGTGTTTGAAAAGTATGGTCTAGAATAGCTTCTCAGATTTGGAGGGGAAGAATATGTTTTAGCTTGGGATTACAAATGCCAATTATGATGTTAAAAATATACTTACAATAAAAATGATTAAAATGAATTTTGGCCCAGTAATATTACTTCGCACTTAAGTGGTTTTTTTATACAAATTCTTTTTTTAAAGGTCTTAATTATTGCCAAAATTTGTGTGAAGCTACAGCATATGTAAACATTATTAGAAAATCTCCCATTTCTGGTGTCCCTTGCAGTGATCCATGTTCCATTGGTTTTTATTCCCCCTAGGGGGACTAACTTTAAAAAACTTAATGTCTTTCATTAACATGATATACATGTTCTTAACAGATCTTCGGGGGTTTAGTCAGTTTTAGTGAATTAAACTTAGCTTAATTGAAGTAAAGGGATTTAAGATTGGTTAGCTGGTTGTGGTCGTGCACACCTTTAATCCCAGCACTCAGTGGGCATCTCTGTGAGTTTGAGGCCAACCTGGTCTACTAGTGAGTTCCAGGATAGCTAGGACTAAACCAAGAAACCGTGTTTCAAACAAACAAACAAACAAAAACCAAGCAACAAACAAACAAAAGCCAAAGGCAACAATAAAAAACACTCAGAAAAACAAGCCCATTGGGATAGAATCAAAATCCCAAGTCTGTTGTAGTCTGAAAAAGAATTGCTTAAGCAAGTAACTAGGGTGTGGATTTAAGTGTGAACATTCCAGAACCTTCTTATATGATTGCTAATTCAATCTAGACAGCTTGAAGTGTCAGAATCATCTCAAGCTGGGCACCACCAAAAGCCCCTTTGAGCTTCCGAAGAGATGCTGTATTTGTGTGTATGAAAGGGTGTTTTGTTTAAATTGTTTCTTCTTGACATTCTCCACAATTGAAAAACTGCCAAGCTGAACCAGTTTGCAGATGGGAGCTTGGAGGGTCTGAAGGCCATTCTGAAGCTGGATTGTGGCTTGCTTCTTCAAGCTGACTGGTTACTGCGTGAAGACAAAAAGCTGATTTAGACGTGAGTAGCAGATTCCGGTACATTATGGCTGAGCCTTGGATGCTTGCTTCTGATGAGAAAATGCTGCAATATCAACGAACAGTGCCAAATAAATTATGCATTTCTACGATGCACTCTTTGAATGCATGCTAATTAGCTCCTCCCATCTGTGAAGTGGTTCCCGTCTTAGAATCGGTGAAGCTTTTGTGATATGTTTGGAGTAGAGATTTTGGCAACATGTAAACAATGTGTACAGCAGGTTTTTATGATTAACGAATCAAATTTATTGAATTTGATTAATAAAAGTGGAAACATGTATGAATGAAAATTCAATAAAAGAATATACTTTCTTCATGGACCATAGTGGTTGTGTGAATATTGTATGTATTCTGAACTGTGACCAAAGAAGGACTATTTATTTATTTGGAGATAGAGACTGTTTCATAACTGGTGTGTTCTTTTCTAGAGCATATTCTCATTTTTACCAGGTAAAGCTTCACAGTGTTACATAGTTTGTTTTTTTATTTAAACCAAGAGGGTTGGCGTCACCTTTGCCAGAACTGTCGAATAAAAGTCGAATTTTCACCGAATCTAGAAATGGTGACTTCCATTTTTACCATTTAAGAATGACTTGGACAATTCTTACAAGGCAGGAAGTTGAAAGGTAAGAAGTGTGACTTGCCTAAGCACAGAGGGTGCACAGTCTAACCCAGGACCCAGCTGTACACGATACTTGCGTGCGGCTCTCACCTAAAACCAGGACCACTACGAAGGTCACGCTTTGACTCTGGCTAATGGGAGCTGCCTTTAACAAAAGGGACCTTAAGACGGGGTGAAGGAAAACCCAGGGCCTGTGTCAGCAGCAGTCCAGGATCTAACTGATCGCTGAAAACAGATAAAAGCTACAGAAAAGGAGACTGAAAAGAATTTGGCTCAGGCTTAAAAACATTTGCTGTAAATAATAACAACATTTAAGAAAATAGAGGCCAGGTGGTGGTGCACACCTTTAATCCCAGCACTTGGGAGGCAGAGGCAGGTGGATCTCTGTGAGTTTGAGAACAGCCTGGTCTACAATATGAGTTCCAGGACAGGCTCCAAAGCTACAGAGAAACCCTGTTTCAAAAAGCTAAACGGAAAAAAGAAAATGAGAGGATTTAGAGAAATAAAAATCAAGAGACCTTGGTTACATTGTGATGACAATCTTTCCTAAGTTTTATTTTTAAAAACGCATGATACTCTGTCAGTTAGATTAAAAAAATATTCTTTTGAACAAGAAAGAGAGAAATCAAACAACAAATGCTGGCAAGGTTGTAGAAGAAATATCTTCAATGAAGTTATAGAAGAAAATATCCCAACTCCAGACCAAGACGCTTATCCAGGTAGAGGCCCATAGAACAAGAAATGGTCAAGACCAGAAATTAAATTCTCCATAGCTCATTAGTGTTAAAACATTGAAAGCTGGTCTCTTACAAGGAATTAGATAACACTGCACTCTTGGATGAAAACCTTTAAAGTCAGAAGGGCCTGTAAAAGTGTAAAAAGATCACCTTCTAATTTATGTAATCATCGTGATATCTCATTATAGGTAGCATTCTTTTTGTATATATATATATATATATTTTTTTTTTATTGAGAAAAGGAAAAAAAAAGTTTCCGCCTCCTCCCAGCCTCCCATTTCCCTCCCCCTCCTCCCACCCTTCTCCCCCTCCCCCCACTCCTCTCCCCCTCCCTCTCCAGTCCAAAGAGCAGTCAGGGTTCCCTGCCCTGTGGAAAGTCCAAGGTCCTCCCCCCTCCGTCCATGTCTAGGAAGGTGAGCATCCAAACTGGCTAGGCTCCCACCAAGCCGGAACATGAAGTAGGATCAAAACCCCGTGCCATTGTCCTTGGCTTCTCATCAGCCCTCATTGTAAGCCATGATCAGAGAGTCCGGTTTTATCCCATGCTTTTTCAGTCACAGTCCAGCTGGCCTTGGTGAGCTCCCAATAGATCAGCCCCACTGTCTCAGTGGGTGGGTGCACCCCTCGTGGTCCTGACATCCTTGTTTGTGTTCTCCCTCCATCCGCTCTATAGGTAGCATTCTTAATAATTTTAAATTTGTTCTTTGAGAACTTCATACATGTGCATAATACATACTAAAGTCACCCCACTCCTTTCTCTTATGCCTCTTCCCCTCCCGCTGAGGTCTTCTTCACAATACTTTTTATCAAACTTTTACTTCCTCCTCCTCCTCCTCCTCCTCCTCCTCCTCCTCCTCCTCCTCCTCCTCCTCCTCCTCCTCTTCCTCCTCCTCTCCTTCTCCTTCTCCTTTTATTCCTTCTTCTTCTTCTCCTCCTTCTCCTCCTCTTCTTCCTCCTCCTCTTCTCTTCCTCCTCTTCCTCCTCCTCCTCCTCTTCCTCTTCGTCCTCCTCCTTCTTCATAATCCACTGAACTTGATTAGCATTGCCAAGGTCAACCCTGTATACACATGGCATATACAGTTGAAAACACAATCTGGTAAAATATTGTGCATGTGAAAATAGACTGTAAGATGTGATAAAGCAAATTTATTTCAATGTGACCATCCACACATAAAACTCCTCTTACTCATCATCCCATTTTTTCTCAGACAGACAAGGAACTTTGAAATACTTTTGATGGCTTTTCCGAAGAAGACGGAGTTCAGCTTGTCACCACATCTTACTCTTCCTTGGATCTTTCTTCTTGACGCGGCAGCAGATGGTCCAGTCCTCACAGTACCTGATGGCATACTCAGTGGATTCGCACTTCATTCTGCAGTGGAGGTACACGGAGGAGCAACCCTGGCTCTCAAGGAAGCTTCTGGCTTTGAAAAGAGAAAACAAATATGTCTCACTGGACTGCTTATATATTATTACTTTAGAAAAAACTTGTTTTTGCTACTTTAAAATTCCGTGTGTGTGTGTGTGTGTGTGTGTGTGTGTGTGTGCCAAATGTGTGCGAGTCCAGAAGAGGGTGTTGGATCCTCTGGAGCTGGAGTTGCAGGTGGTTGTGAGCCCCCGATATGGGTACTGAGATTCTACCTAGGAAATAGAATGCTAATGAACTTCCCCTCAGATTTCATTTTAGTATAAAAGCTGTTTGGAGATTAAGGGTGGATGATTTTCAGGATGTGAATTCAGGATTTCATGAAGGATCCCTGAAAACTCCCTCTTGATAAAAACATGTGAGTTGGGCCTCTTCCCACTCCTGCACTCTGGTCTGAGAAATAATTTCTGGTCTGGGCTGGTCGCAGACCACAATGCCCATGAAGTCCAGAGGAGGGTGTTGGATCCCCTGGAGCTGGAGTTACAGGTGGTTGTGAGCTACCCAACACGGGTGCTGAGACTCAAACTCAGATTCTCTGCAAGAGCGGCGTCTTAACCGCTGAGCTGCCTCCCAAGTCCCTCTATTTGATACTTTTATTTTTAGTGTTAATTTAAGTTTTGAAAGTCTATTTGATATGACTGCCTGCACATGCATCTGTGCACCATGAGCATGCCTGGAGCCTATGGAGGCCAGAGGAACTGCCAGGCAGGTCCCCTAGAACTGCAGTTCCACGTAACTGTGAGCTGCCATGTGGGTTCTGAGGATATGAAGTCTGGTCCTATGCAAGAGTAGTCAGGGCTCTTAACCACTGAGCTATCTTTCTAGGCTTCTTTATTTGCTGTTTTTAGCGTTTAAAATAGCTTATGATTTAAGAAAAGAATAAAGAACTTTCCCAGGATGTCAGAAAAACATTAAAATGAATGCAAGAGGAAACAAGAAGGCGATAGGTATAGGCAAATGATAATTCCTTCTGGAAAGAGCATGTAAATGAAGCAGGGGCAGAGAACTAGTTACATTTCTGTCTATGGTGCAAAAATAAAAAAATGAATAAAAAATTGTAAATTAAAAACAGGGCTAATTTCTAAAGCAAAATTCTTTCAGATGTGCTCATAGGAGCTACGTCATGGGGTCAGTCTATGTGTTCATCCGCAATGGATAAGGAAGGGGTCAAGCCATAAAGAAGGATGGAGCATGCCATGTGCAGGAAAATAGCTGGGACTGAAGGTCATCATGCAAAACCATCTGGACCAGAAAGAAAGCATTGAATGTTCCGTCTTCTTTCCTCCTCTGGATCTGTAGTCAGAAACTCACTATGTTCCCTTGAATGGCCTGGTACTTATCAGTAGTCCAGGCTATCTTTGGACCCATGCCAAGCCTCCTGGCTCAGCCCCAGAAGTGCTGAGGTTACAGGTATGTGTCCTCATGCTTTCTGTCATATGTGAAATCTAGAAAAAATGAAAAACTCTGAGTAGGACAGAGACCATCAGAGAAGTAAAGAGGGAGGAAGAACTGGGGAGGGAGATATAGGAAGGGGAGGATGCCAGGTGCCAGTGGGCACCATCAGAAGAACTGGTCCTTTTTCAGTTTATTTTAAAAATAAATTAAGCAATCATTTATTATTATTATTATTATTATTATTATTAATCTTTCAAGACAGGGTTTCTCTGTGTGGCCCTGACTGTACTGGAACTCACTTTGTAGACCAGCTTGGCCTTGAACTCACAGAGATCTGCCTGCCTCTGCCTCCTGAGTGCTGAGATTAAAGACTTGTGCCGCCACATCCAGCTAACAATTATTAAATCCTTTTACTTCAATCAAGCTAATTAATTCACTAAAGCCATACAAACCCCGGAAGGTCTATTAAGAACTGACTGATCATGAACACCTTCCTGTGTATGATGATAAATGTTTTTAAATTATTTAAAAACTGTTGAGGCTGGCCTGTCTATAACTTGACCCTGAAAACTTAACGATAGTGTGTCCAATAAAATATTTTAAGACAACAATCTGGAGGGTGGGAGAAATATTTGCAAACTTGTATCTGACAAGGACTTAGTACTGAAATACATAAAGAGCTGACAACTCAATAATAAAAAAAAATAGAAATGGGAAGAACATTTAAACAGCTGTTTCTCCGAGAAAGATCTATAAATGACCAAGAAGCTAATGAAACATGCAGCCATTGTTCCTCGTAGAGAAATTCAAATGAAAACTACAATGGGATGTCACTTCATCTCCATCACATGGCTGTCATGAGGGACAGAATGACAGACAATAGCAAGTGGTGACCTTGTGCACCGCCATGGTGATTCAAAAAACAGATAGCCATGGAGTGCAGTTTGGCAACTCCTGAGAGACACAGAGCACACAAGGTCAATCCCAAATTTATGCCCAGGA